GGGATAAAGATCGCCACAGATGATCCTGTAATTGCCAATGGCCAAAATCCATGATCTTCAGCGGATTAAAGACAACATAATTGGTATAGCTTCCGGATTTATTATAAAAACACCTGCTTCTGACACAGGTCACCCAAGAAGGCCATTCTGAAGCGGGCCCTCCACTTTTTATCACCGGTACATCATCCATTTTGGCCACTCACATTTCTACACAGGTGTCCATTCTCTGTTCAAGTTAAATGCAAAAGTGGACAGAGCTTCAGGGACTGGAATAATAGCTTAGTGGTAGAATACTTTCCTGCTATGTTCTACACACACATACTCACACACACATACTCACACACACACACTCACTCTCACACACACACAGACACTCACACACACACTCACTCTCACACACACATACTCACACACACACACTCTCACACACTCACACACACTCACACATGTGCCTGCACCTAAACACACATTCTAAAGTCCAGGGTTCCCTGAGCCTTTTAGTGTTTATTCTGAAGGATTTTGTATCATGTGAAAATCTTGTTAAATAAATCCATTATTCCTTTATCTTGTTAATTTCTTTTAGGTGTAAGATTGTTAGTCCAGACCTTTATGATGGACAAGGAATAGTGTCACCTACTCGTGTCTTACACAGAAGAAATTTGCCAAGCGAGCTAAGATGCCACCTGGAGAAATGCACAGAGAATGAAGTAAAGCTTAACAACTATCTTAAAAAACAAAAAGGACTGAAAGAGCCCCTATGGAGCCTCATAGATGTGGATAAGCCTCAGCTTTTACAAATGTTTGCTTTTTGTTCTCTGTCTCTCTTACCTCCCCTTCTCTCCCCCCCTTGCTTCCCCTTCTTTATATTTTATATCAGGGAAAAAACAGAGACCAGGGTCAAGTCTAGCCAAGCATGTATCCCTTTATAAATAAAGTTTTATTGTCACATGCCATATTCACTCATCTACATATTGTATATGAACTCTTCAGCAAAGTAGCCATGTCCAAGACCATATGGACACAACACTGCACTGCACTATTTGCTCTGTATGTAAAAAGTTTGCCGGATCTGTGTTGTACATGACTAGCAGAGGCTATATTTTGCTGAACCAGGCCTTGAGAAAGCAGCAAGTGCTGAATAGACTTCATGCTGCATTTGGTGCTCAGCGTCTTGGCTTTCTGCTGTGTGTTAAGGGAAAGAAGCCAGGCTTCCAGGGGGGGGGGTCCTAATGAAGCAGAGAGAGATCCTGCAGACAGCAAGTTTTCAGGATGTCCCAGATCACCACAGAATGTGAGACTTGGACACAGGTGACTGATGTGAGCAGCTGGGAATGAAGGAGGGGGAGAGGTGAGACATGTCAGAGATCCACTCTTTCTGAAGGTGCTCTAGAGCTGTTCTGCACTTTAACTTGTAGAGAACAGAGTTCTGCTAGCAAGTTCTGAGTGGATTGACTGTTGTCTCTAGAGACTTTCACGCTGCTACCATTGACTTCGATGGGGGTAATGGAGCATTTTTGTCCCATGACATCTGTGCTGGCTTCAGGCTATTTAACAAACTCCTACTAAACAAATCCCAACAAAGTGCTCTTTAATGGGTACTTAATTCTGTTGTAGAGGTGGGTGCTGAGCACACCTAAGTCCTTTTTTTTCCTTCAGGTCTGCTGTTTCCTCCTTTTTATGACTTGGTAATTACTATACCAGAGAACCCTGAGTTAAGCACTATTAATCGCACTCCGAGTCACCGAATGTCTGCTTTTATTGATCTCAGTTGATCTAATTACTCTCTAGGTTCCAATTTAACAGTTAAATTGATTATTCATTTACATTTTTAATGCTGTAGGTGAAATCATTTTAACATGAATCATCTCTAGCTTACCGGGTAACGTATAGAGTCATTTGGGATTTTAATCTCAACAAGTATTTGTTGAGCATATGAGCCCAGAAGGGAGCAAGGATTTAAAAGGTCATTCCACTTTATGGTCAACCATGACCAAAATGACTTGCTGACATTTTTGCTATGCAAAATGGCTGTTAGTTATAAATGGCTTCCGTGGTGATAGTGGGTAGTTAGGACATCAGTTTTTATCTTCCCCTTACTAATTATATTTTGTCTACATACACCTTAAAATATATAATGCCCATATCGTTGTTTGAACTTGTTCTCAAACAAAGGTCTTTCTACGATTTATTTTTCTCTTAGATGATATTGACTTGCTGAAGATGTAGAGAGAGTGAGGAATCATGCCAAGGAGAACTCCTTAGAATGAGAGCTCTTAGTTTTATGTCATTAGCTCATGAAACTACTTAACAAACACAGGTAACATGGAAACATCTAACTTCATATGTGTTTGCAGAATTGTTTTCTACCCAAAGTTTCTTTAAATATGCTTTGTAGAGTTCATTTGACGATGTGCTTTCATCCTGCACACCAAGAAGGTGAAACTAAAAATTAACGGCCAGTGGCTTATCCTTCCCAACAGGAACCGTTTAGTGTATCATATTTATGAGTTATATGTCTAATCACCTATTGCACTTGCTTGTTTCTAAAAGGAGATGATGCATAGGAAAATACATAAGCAGTCACCTTTATCTGACTGTATAAAATGGAGGCCGAGTTTAATGCTGAGTAGAGGAGGCATGGTACTCAGTTTCTAGGGAATAGTATGTGCTAAGGCTTGCTGAAAAGGGCAGTGAAAAACGAAAAAAGTGCTAAAATACTTGGAAGTGCCTCCTTCTGCTGATTTTCACTGCCAATTCCATTAGTCTTAGTACAAACCTGGCAGATGAAGAAGAGAGCTATCCTAAATTCTTGACAAAAAGGTCAGATGGTCGATAGTATTATGTTTTTGTGCATGAAATTATTGAACTCTTTTCTGTGTGCCTGCCTTGTACTAGAAAGCACATTCTAAGCAAAGCCAGAAACACAGTCATTAAGAATGCATCATCTCATAACATGTATACACATCACTGATAATAGGATGCAGAATGCTTCAGTTTCCAAAGCCCTGCCCTTCCCTTGGTAGTCCTAGGAAGCTTGAGGGAAAGGTGACTTTAGAAAGTGGTCATGCACAATGAGTGAGTTCACCAACGAGTGTTGAGATCACCCTGGGTCCTGCCCTAAGTTACTATACTTTGCAAAAGCAGGTTGTTTGTTGCTTTTGTTGTTTGTTTGTTTGTTTGTTTTCAGACTGCTTTACCATGAGAGATCTCCTGTAGAAATTTTCTACTAGGCCCTTTGCTTTGGGTCTCTCAGACATCTTGGAAATTCTTTGCCTAAGCTCTTGCAGGCATTCTACAACTCACATATAGTCATATAGAGGTAGATGGACTGAATGATGTATAAAATATAATTTGATAATTAACATTACTAATCCAGATTGGAATAAACAAGAACAAAACTTGGGCTTGCCTCAGCCATAAATATCAAGGAAAAGGGGATTCTCAGGCAAATTGCTTCTGATGAATATGCTGTACCTTATGAATTTATTCTTCTCAATAAATTCTGACGTCGTGAAAAAACACAAATGTATTTGTTGATGTTTTAACATTGCACACTAAGCACAAGGAGGGGTCAGCCTCAGAAAGTGGACTTAGGAAGAACCTAGGGGTTCTTAAGAAATCCTGGGTTTTCATCATAGCTCATATGAACAGTATATGGGCAGTGAACTAAATTTGAGACTTATAATATGTAGACAAGGGAGACTCGTTGACTCACTTTAAACCAAAAGGAGGAGATGATAAGATAGTTAGGATCTGCAAGATACCTCATTTGGTAATTGATCTAGTGTGCAAGCATGGAGACATGGATCTGGATTTCTAGCAGCCAAGTAAAATGATAACTGTGGAGTACGCATTTGCAATCCCAGCATGGGTTGGGGGATAGGAACAGAGATAGAAGGATCCCTAGAGCTCATTGGTGAGGCAGCCTAGCTAAACCATTGAGTTCTGGCTAGGTTTAATGAAAGATCCTGCTCAAGAAAAAAAGGTAGAAAATGATTGAGGAAGACTGGTTTCAACCTCTGGCTTCTTTGCACACAAACACATAGCATAGCATAGCATAGCATAGCATAGCATAGCATAGCATAGCATAGCATAGCATAGCATAGCATAGCATAGCACACAGCACACACATGCTAAAAAGGGAACCAGAGATCCACCAAATCCTGAAATGTGAGCAGAAGTGCAAGCAAAGCTAATTTCCAATGGGCCAAGGCCAGAATAGTATCTATTGATGATTAGATGCCATCTTCTATTCATCCTAAAGCAAGCAGATAGAGCAACTATAGCTTACTGGTTTGTTTTAAAAGAGTTTATTGACTATGTCCCCTTCCCAGGGAAACCTTGCCCTCTCTGAGGAGTGGATGGGGGGTGGCATGGGACTAAGGTGAGGAGAGCAGGAGGAGGGGAGGGAGTGGGAACTGGAATTGGCATATAAAACTAGAAAAGAATGTTTTAAAATTAAAAAAAGATAAAAATTACAGAGAAAGCAAAAAATAAAAGAGTTTGTTGAGTATTCTGTAAGATGTCTTTAACTGCAGTACTGCTGTAGCCATAGCCCAAGTTCCCAAATTTTGTACTGGGCTCAAACCTGGGATTCACAGTTCCTTTCCCAGGAAATGGTTCACTTTATGGCGTAATGTCTAACTGAAGTCCGGTTTGTTGCCTGATGGCGATAACTTTTTATAGATAAATGCATAACTATTTTTGTTAGACACTTGAATTACGTCACTGCAATTGCAATTACACTCTCAGTAGAGTTGCACTGATGAAATCCCACAGTTAGTTCTGTAATTAAATCACAATGTACATCAACAAGTTATGGATCCTTAAAATCCTAAAGTTTAAATTTGCCAAATTTGTTGAATTTGCTCTACATGGCATTTAAAAATTCCTTTAGAATCCTCAGTTCTTGTGAGAGAATATTTCTATGCATACCACCTGACAAATCGCATGCGTGTTAGAATAAGCACGCCCAAGAAGGGCTTGTGTGAGCCCCTTACCTGTGCTGTCTTCATACACCACAGTCACTGTTCTCCAGTTGTAATAGAGGACCAGGTCCAGGACTGCCCTGCTGATGGCTGCATAATCTGGGTAGAGGTTGATGTAAAATGAGTCTTTGTTGTCCACCGAGGGGTGTTTCCAGCGAGTCTGAATGTGTGGAACTTCCAGAGCATTGCAAATAGACTGCACGGCGCTGACAGAGGAACTGTGGGATGGGCCAAAGAGGGCGGCCACACCAAGAGCCAGCTGGTCACAGGCTGATAATATCCGAAGACAAGAGAGGGGATGGTGAGGGAGGGGGGCAGGGTAGGGGGTGAGAAAGAGAGAGTTCTATGAATGCATGTTTTCCTTACAAGAATTCTCCACTCAACTATTAGAGACCTCTTACAATTCCCATCTCTGTGTTGATATCTGCTCTTGCCAGCTTCCAATATACTTTAGATAGTAAAATACTGGTAAATGTAAAAGTAAAGTCAATTAGCAATAAATCATAGGGCCAACTCCCTGCAAATAAAAATGAGTTACTGGTCTCAGTTCATTACCTCCAATCGGACGAAGGCTAACTCCTTTACTTGATCCCATGAGTACTCTGTGGGCTAACTAGCAAACCATTTGTCAAATGAAAGTCGTATGAATTAAGTTCTGTCATATGGCAGTGTGACAATGGAGAGATTAGTATGGTCAGAAGCCCCTTGGGTGGCTATGAAATGCTTTGACTGCCATATTTCTGAAACTCAGATAGGAATTTCAGACTATTGAAACATTGCTAAAGAGTACATATAAGCAGGAATGATACCTAATTAATTACAGAATAATGGGATGGCATGGCATAAAGGGATCTTTAGAAGACACTTGGGTCTGCCCCACTCATTTAATAAACAATGGACTTAATCATGGCCACTGGATAGTAACAGAGTTGAATCAGAGCCCGAGTGCCCCAGTTCAAGGTCAGGCCACCCCTTTCTCTCTCAATTATCAGTTAAACAAAATTAAATCACACATTTAAAATTTTATTTCCAGCATTTTTTTGCTATAAGAACAAAAGCATCCATTGAAGGAAATCAGAATATTTATAGTACAGGGAAGACCAAAGGCTCTGTTGTTAGCCCATCGACTTGGAATAATGCTTAATGATGTTTCAGGAAATGGAGATTGTTATTCAAACATCGTGTGACACACTGATGCTTTTACAGAATTAAAAAACACAACATTCTCCCTAAGGTTGTGCAAATTACTCGAGTGTGTTTTTACTGCCTGAAGAACAGATAGCTGAACGGGAATGGTGTCATTTCCCAAAGTCATCCTTATACATTTAAGTATTTAAACTCCTCTTAGTTCTTGACTATGATAAGTCATATTTCAGTATTAATATTTTTTCTCTGTATCTTAAATTACCTCTTTGATTCTAGATTCTGGATGGTGGAGCTTACCATCTACTACTAAAAGGTCTTGATATTTTTAAGATGTTTAATACGTACTGACCAAATTCCCTTCCAGAAAATGAGTTTATCCTCTCCTACCATGTAGAATAATGTAAGGGGGTGTAAGGGGGTACTAAATATAGGTTTACATGCATCTTTCATATTTAAATTGTAATTTTTTGAAATGAACTTTAGAGTTGCCAAGTGATAATACTTGAACACCGAAATTAAACAAATAGATCCATCTAAATAAAGGAATTTGTATTAGGAATTGTATAATTATGCAGGTTTACAAAATTAAGTGGTGAGCCCCATATGTTTTTGTAAGTTTCAAGGAGTTGATTTAGAGAGAATAAAGAGTAAAATTTTGTTGGCCATGTTGCGGCCATCTAAGCGGCAACTGATATTGCCATTTTAAGGACATATTCTGCACTGACTTTGAAGATGCACAGCTTTCTGCAATATACTGAAGTTACTGAGTTGTCACTGTCACAAGCTCACTTCTGGATGTGAGTTCATTAGCCCGACAAAGTATGAGCATGAGAGTGTGCAAATTGCCTTACCCAGTATGAGCAATGGATCGAGATTCCAGCCAATGTCTAGATTCTAGGATGCTAATATTTCTTGACAGAAAATCAATCCTTTAGGATTATGTTTGTTGGGGTGCTTAACTTACAAGTATGGTTGGATCTTCAGATTATAAGAAAATCTTCATTTTTAAAAAATTTTTTTTGGATTGAAGTATCACCGTTAAATGTCATTGGATTAGTTTTCTATGGCATTGTTCAAAAGTATAGAAGAGAAGAGAGAGAAAGATGCAGAGCAAAGAGAGAGATAGATCGAGTGAGTTTTATTCAGACAGTACATGTGTAAAGATGTCTTATGAGCTTTAAAATACTACTTGAATGTAACTATACATTTTTGTTATTGTTAATGGATAACTCTGACCTATAAGGCATTTCTAACATCTCTAACTCCATCCTTCTTTGTTTTTTGGCAGAATCTTGCTATGTGGCCCCCAAATTCATGCTAGACTGGGCCCAAATTCATCTTGATCTTTTAGTGCTGGAATACAGGCATATGCCACCATGCCTAGCCTCCTATCCTAAAAAAAACAGGGTTATTACACTAAGGTTATGGTATATGTGGTATGTATTATTGCAAGAATCTCCATCCAGCTGATGAAGAGAGCTTTACATTTTGCATGTAAGTAGCACTGTGATGTCTGCAGGCAAGTGTTTCAGGCAAACACATTCTCTGATGTAACTAGGTCAATTCTGTTAACCCTTAACACTCAGTTACTTGGGAACCACCAAACACATGGAGTTGATCATGCATGATTTGTGTCTGCAAAAAGGCAAAGTGTGTTCTGGAAGGAAAAGGATTCTTTATAGACGCAGATAAGCAGCAGCCTTTGGTTCCACAAAATCTTTAACCTCACGAGGGAGCAGTGCCTTTGTTAGAGGCTATGCTTCATGTGTATGGACTCAATAGAGACTTGTTTTAGGGGTGCCCAAGGGATGTCTAAACCAGCCCCTCCATTCCGTAAGACTCAGCCCACATGATGAAGCTTGCAGCCTGCTTATAAATTAGATTACTTTTGAGTATCTGTCTTCTGTTCAGAAGAAACAACAAAATGAAATTGTGATTTGTTTTCACAGATTTAATCTTCCTATTTTTATGATTTTGCAGAAAAGTGCAAAAGCAACAATAACAAAAAATGAAAAGATGTTAGATAAACCCAGCAGTTCGTAGCAGCATTTTATGATCTGGGGCTTGACTTATGCATGTCCTGGGTGCTTCTGCATGTTTGGTGGATGTGACCTTCCCCAAGATTTTATTTGACCGCACTGTACAATTTCATGGTGGTATCTCAGCTTCAGGAAGGAAAAACAGATCAAGCTTGACATTTTCCATTCACAGCTGAACCAGTAAATCATAGAGTGGAGGCCACTGAAGGATAAGCTGATCAGAAAGGCCCAGAAAACAGGGCAAGGCAGTGTCCATTAGGTGAGTCCAGATTGCGTTGATCAGTGACACTGGGGACCAGGAATTCCTACCACCCATTTGCAATAACACACCTACTTCAAAAAAAAAAAAAAAAAAGGGCAAGCTGTAAAAAGGTGGCCTGTGCAGCAGACTTATCACCCAAAGAAACGTTGTAAAGTAGAATAATAGTTACCTCTCCGGGAGGCTTCAAAACTATCAAAAAGATTAATTCTCTGGATGTCATAGGTTAATGTGACGTTAGGCATCAGGGTTCGGTTTCGGTTAATACTGGTGACTGCAAACTTGAAAGCTAATTCTTCCACATTAACGGGTTCATTCTCCACAGTTTCAAAAATACCTCCTGCAGAAGCAAAAGAGATTCATGAGAGACATCAGACATGTGCAATACCACTATTTCAAAAGAAGTTTGTAAAGTGTAAATAAAAGACCCAAGATAATGATTGCCAGGATGACCACAGTAGATACAGAATCTAGGCCGAATGATATCAGAATGTGTTATGTACAAACAAATAGTTCTAACTGCACATGCGTGCTTAAGGTTTTAAACCCAATATTGGAAAAATAATACCTCTTAGATGGTGGATATAGTCCCAACTTTTCACCAGAGAATCATAGTTAATAATACAGTAGAAAGCAGTTTTCTCTGATCTAAACACAATTTAAACTCTATTCTGGTAGGCAATCTCACCTAGGGATTAAAACATTTCTATTGAAAACAGAAACAGAGTTTCTAGGAGCTGGAGAGATGGCTCTGCAGTTACAAACACGTGTATATGGCTCTTATAGAGGACCCGAGCTCTGTTGCCAGCACCCATAGTAGACTGCTCATAACCATCCAAACACCAAGCTCCGGTACATCTGACTCACTGTCGGGTGACTGCATTCATGTGCACACCCACACACACATACTCATGGAGACCCCACCCACACACTCACGTTTGCACACCCATGTGCACACGCATGTGTAGCCCACACACTCGTGTACACACCCCACCCACATACACTCATATAGACCCCACCTCCACACACACTCATGTGCACACGCATGTGTAACCCACACACTCGTGTACACACCCCACATACACTCATGTAGACCCCACCTCCACACACACTCATGTGCGCACCCTGCACAACAAACGTTCATGTTTACACACTCATGTACACACACATGTGTACCTCCACCACCACTCACGCGCACACCCCACACATGCATACTCATGTGCACTCCCACACTCATGTGTACCCCCTACACTCATGTTCACGTCCTCACCCGCACACACTCATGTGCACGCCCCCACTCAAACACACTTACGTATGTACCCTGACCACACACTCACATAAACACCCAATCCACACATATTCATGTGCACACACCCCCACTCACACACTCATGCACACGCCTTACTCACACACTCATGCACATGCCTTACTCACACACTCATGTGCGTACCCCCATCTGCACACTCCTATGCAGGCTCCACCCCAACACAGTCTTGCGCACAACCCCACCCCACATACCCATATCCGTATCTTTCACATCTCCACCCACATGAATGCACATGACTGAAGCTCAAATAAATCAGTTTTAAAAGGCAGGCATTCTAGACCCTAACGCTAGTTAGACTGGTCAGGGATGAACTGGGACAAAATAGAGGAATCCTACCCTGGCACTTTTCAGAATGAAATGAAAACATGTTTTCTAGGTTTTATAGCTCAGATGTCTGGGGTCATATTCTATACATCCTAACATTCTGAAGCATATGGGTAGATCCAAAGAAGGGTAGTTTTCTCTGTTTGAAACATCATTTGAATATACCCCAAAGCAAGCTTGTGTTTTAACTCTGGTGAAACAAGTTCTTTCATGTCCTCGGTCTGTCATCTTAAACATGTGTGTCTGTTTCACTATAAACAGTATCATAGTGCTTGGGCTATATCAGAGACTGCAACTCTAGCTTTGCATGAGATATTGGTTTTGTATAGAGATATGGTTAGCTATATGTTCTTACTATTCTTTAACAGCACTCATGTATTAACTCAATAGACACAGAGCATCCCATTGAAGCTTTATAAGCTGACTTCTATTTATTAAGTACTTGATTTACCCAAGTCTTTGCTTCCTCTGAAAATAGGCCTTGACTCCTACCCATGGCATGCTGAAAGCTCATAGATTGCAATTTATCTACTCTCATTAGTCCTTATTAAGGGTCACAATTAGGTATTTATAAATCTAATTTTTTGTTGACTCAAGCAAATACACACAAACACACATACCAAAAAAATCTGAAATTAAAAGCACAGATAGTCATCATTTGCCTCATTTCCATTCATTCTTTCTCAGATGGAGAAATCCAGTGTACAGAATTTAACTAAATGTAATTACACTGGCCCTATTTTGAGAGATCAGTTTTTAAAAGCACATATATAGTTTTCTGTTGAATTGACTTTATTTCTTAATTAACTGCAGTGTTTAGTGAGGAGAGCTAAGAAGACCTATAGTAACCTAATTTGGCTTCTTTCAAATACATTTCTGGCATTTATAGATCAAAAGCTTGAATCATTCATGTATAGACTACTACTATGGTTCTCTATGAAACAATAGTTAAGAGTAAAAGATGTTAACTTTCACCTAAGGTCCCAGGGGAGACAGTTGTTCCAAAAGTAGTAGCAGCAAGTGCTTGTGTATTCCCTCTGTTGGCCACACATGGGGAATTAGGAATGGACTTCCATTGTTTTTGGGCGCCGAGACAAGATGGCGACTGAGAGGTGAAGAGGTCAGGCAGGAAGCACTGAGTGGTCATAGGTAGACTGATGTAAGATGGGTTTATTGTTGGGTCTAGGTGACCCACACTGAGGGCTTTTGCTATTAGAATCACCATAATAGTCATTAGCGATTGTTTATTTACTAGTCTATCCTCCCAGACCCAGCAAGGGCCCTGTGACGTTGAGTCCATGCCACTCAGAATCTGACCCCATCCAGACCAAGGCAGCTTAAGATACCCAGGCTGCAGCTATTTAGGGAGAAAGTGAACCTCAGCCTGTGAGGATAGCAGCAACTCAATGTACACGGCAGGCTGTGGGAGGGGATATATTCCCAGATAAAGAATGACCCTGGCCTTACTTAATTCTCCCTTGTGAATTTTAAGTGGAGGGAAGAAAGTCATACTAGGGTAGGTCTTCTGTGTAGTTTCCATCGAAACTTATAACCAGCAGACCAAGTAGGAGATAGTTTCCTGTTTTAGTCAATGAAAGAGAAAGAGATAACACACATTGTCTCCACATAGTTCATCTGCAAGACTCATCCCTGACAAACTCAGATGTGTGCATGTGCTCATGTTTTCACTTCATCAATCTATTTCTGCTTTTATCGCCTCTAAATGTGGATGACAATTCTCCATTGCTCCATTGGTCTATAAAGCAAATGGGTAAATTCAGCTCAATACTTTGAAAACACAATTGTTCTCCAGAAAGTGTGGATATTATTGAACATGTGATGGCAATCACATGGCAATCAGTTAATACCAATCTTGAAGCACCCTGCTCAGTTCAAAACTATTCCTCTGCTCTACAGTTGTCTTTTGCACACAACTGACTCGTCTTGTTTTAAGAAAAGCATTTGTTTATTTTTATGTATTTTGTGTGTAGGTGAACTCCATTTTGGCATTTTAAGGGAAATTGCTGTCGTTCATTTACTTAATGAGAATTATGCATGGCATCCCTAGTTCAGCACCCAACCATATTCTTCTCTCCTACAATGGGCATCTGAGAAATATCCCAAGTCTACAGTAATGTGAGGCATGAAGACTTCTAGAGAAGTACCAAGAACACAATATCTGCTAAGACAGGGAACTTGTGAACAGACTGGTCCCTCAGAAGGTGTGTGGAGACACTTACAGTTAGCTTCCTCTTTCTGTCCGCAGCTTCAGATTTAAGATGTGGAGTGTCTAATACATGGAGCAGAGGAACTCTTGCCTAGGGACACTTGCATGATTCATTTTTATATCTCTCTCCTCATCCCTCCCTCCCCCTTTGCTCTCTTCCCTCCCCTTCCCTTCCCCCTTTTTCTTTTGTTTTCCCACACTTGTCTTACTATCTTTTCTTCCCTCTCTCTTTTCTTTTCTTCTCTGTTCTTTTTCTCTCACTCTTACTTTCTCATATTTGTGGACAGCTCCCACCCCCATTTTTTGAGACAGGGTTTCTCTGTGTAACAGCATTGGCTGTGCTGGAACTCACTCTGTAGACCAGGCTGGAGACCAGGCTGGCCTTGAACACACAGAGCTGTGCCTGCCTCTTTCTCCCCTGTGCTGGGATTAAGGGCACGAGCTACCACTGCCCAGCCTGGATAGACCCTTTTAATGTGATATTTAAATCTTTGTGGAGCCAGCTTCTGGAGGCCAGGGTTCCCACTTCTCAGAAAGGAAGACTCCTCTTTCAGCCATTGCTCTGTTCCTTCTCTACTCTACTCTAGCCCATTTTCTCCTTGACTGTCCCTCTTTCTACTAAGGTTAAAGTACCTCTTTGACTTTTGAGTTCTCATTTGAGCTGAGATAACCACAACTTCTAGTCCTAAGAATTCAATGAGCTGTGGACAAAGTTGGAAAAAGTGAAGTTAACGTAAGGTACTTCAGGCCTTGATGTGTGTGGGAAAGACCATCCATCCATCCTTCCATCTGTCTGTCCGTCCGTCCGTCTGTCCGTCCACCCATCCATCCAATTTTCAAAATTGCTCAGGGAGCACTCTGAGAGGTCAAGATGAACAAGTTTCCCTTTTGGGCTGTAACCCTTGAATATGGCAGATGGTGCCCAGGAGGGCAGAACCTCAGAGGTGTGGGTGACTATGCTTGCTTTCAACACTTATGAGGAAGTAAAGTGTGAGAAGTGTTGGTGAACCAACTTTTGTCTTTACTGTAATGTGAGTCAGGCTGAGTGCTACAGATCACATATTCTTTCTTATAGCCTAGATGCAACTGGGCATAGAAACCTCTGCCTAATCGCAACAGGAAGGTGAGCAAGGGTCAAAGGGCATTATCAATAACGTCCTCCCACCCCAAACCACTTGCTGCTTAGTGACACCACTCAGGATCCTTTGAACAACTGACCAAACATAGGATAGCAAAGTAGAAGTTGGGGTAGGTAGAGTTGGATGGTAAAACTATTTATCCATGATTTATCCATCTTCTCAGCCCCTACATTAAAAAACAAGAAACTAGGTATGGTAGAATGTTTGTAATCTAGGGGAATCCTAGGAGCTCACTGGCTAAGCAGTCTAGCTAAATTGGCAAATGTCAAAGTTCAATTAGAGCCTTTGTCTTAAATAATAAGCTGGAGAGTGGTAGAGGGAGA